TTGTATCATTCTTGTTAAAAAATTGCTCGTTTTGAAAATATTTTATGTACGGGATATTCACATAATAGTTTACCTCTTATCTCTTCTGGACTTCTATCTAGAAAAAAAATTTAAAGATCAAAATTTGTCTATCGAAACGTCAAAAATCTTGATCTTTGTACAACCATTGACGGCAAAGACTATATAGTTAATACGAATGAATAAGAAATTTTCACGAGCATAAAAAATGTTGTTGGATGTCAAAACAATGTCAAAAATAAAATAAGTGCCAACGACTTTTTCCATACCCCTTGAACGAATTAATAGGCGAGCGGTTCACCCCTAAAAACATGCTTCTAAATGAAGTAACCGACTAAATTTTTAAAACAAAAACCTACAGCATGAAACTATTTTATTTTATAAAGTGTATTTTTCTGATAATTTGCATATTTTTGTTATATTTTTCGGCGTAGTCAGTCAATTGTTATAAACAAAAAAGTTGGAAAAAAATTACTGTCCGAATGGTTTTTTATTGTAAAATTGAGAAAAATTCGAAAAATGCTTCGTTTCTGAGATATTTACAATTTAATGTGAAAAAGTGACGAAATCGACAAATTTTCGGAATTTTTTTCTCAAAAACTACTGAACAGAGTTTAATTCTAAAAAAATCATAATAATCGGCAGATCTTCTACTTAAATGAAAGGAAAAAGGCTGCAAATAGTGAAATTGTAACTATAAATCCATTATGGATGGAAAATCGAAAATGCTTGCTTGGATTTTAATTATTTCGAAGCAGAAACTGCGTTAGATATGCTTCGAAAATATTTTTGTTCATGTAGTGGAAAATGTTCTACGAAAAATTGTAACTATGTCATCGAACCTGGAATGCTGGTACAGTCTGTGCGTGCTCATATGAATGTCAGAATGTTACGTCCGAAATTTATTATGAAACGCTTATTTCAACTCAACAACTTGTCGAAAATAACGAAAAACTTATTATTTAAAAATTAAATAAAAAAGAAATTAATATACTTTTATTGCTCTTAATATTGTTGTAAAATAAAAATAAAATAATTATCCTATGCAATAAATTATCCAATAACTTTAATTATTACTATTAGGTTAATTTTACGATTTAAAAAGCTTATTTAGTTTAGTTTTGGTATAACTCAAGTCAATTTTAACCATTTATAAAACCAAAAGTCGAATATTTAAATTTTACTAATTACTTGCAAAAACCTTACTCCGGCTAAGAAACCAAACAAAATGATCTTTTGAACATTTGTACTGTTAACATATATCGATTTAAAAAAATCATAATGTTTATTGTAAATATAATCTAATCCAAGATATTAAGAAGTGTTATCATAATTTTCTTTAAGACTTTTTTTACTCGCTTTAGACCTTCAATAAAATGATTGACCTATACAAAAAAAAAAAATATCTTAAAGTAGAAAATCTGCCTATTATTTATTATGCTTTTTTAGAATTAAAATCTGTTCAGTAGTTTTTGAGAAAATAATTCCGAAAGTTTTTCGATTTTGTCACAAATTGTAAATATCTCGGAAACGAAGCATTTTTCGAATTTTTGTCAAAGAACAAAAACTGTTTATTTTGGTCCATTTTACAATAAAAATCTATTTTCAAAGCCATTCGGCGAGTAATATTTTTTACAACTTTTTTGTTTATAATTGACTGACCGCGCCGAAAAATATAAAAAAATATGTAAATTATCAGAAAAATGCACCTCATAAAATAAAAAAGTTGCATGCTGTAGGTTTTTGTTTTAAAAATTTAGTCGGTTCATGCCTTTTCTTTAGGGGTGAACCGCTCGCCTATAAAGATGCTGTTTTTGCCATTCAATTTATTTTGCCTAAAAAATATTTTTCACTCTTTTCCACCCAAATTGTGGACATCCTGTATACGAGTTGTGACAGAGATCCTAATAAATTTACAAGTATACATGGTTAGCTGACGTGGTTACTTGTTTTAATTTCAGTTATCTGAAAATTTCTCTCGTTCGTATTTCAGTGGAAACGACGACTTCTGGCTTTAAAAACAGCATTTGCTCGCGTAAACTGTATCCCTAATTAAGACGGGCTTGGCGTTTTTTTGTCGCAGCCGAGCCCCATGAACAAGACGAGGAAGTGGATCGTTCTACGGCTAGGCCTCATCACGTCTCTCATCGGCCCTTGTCTCTCCTCTCCCGAGGCGGCCAAAATAGATGACGTCTGCGACTCTAATGTCCCGGCCGATGAAATACATGATGAAGCCTCGACTAACATTAATCTAAAATAAATTATAAATAGTTATTTACAGAGTTACGAACGTTACTGTACACGGCGGCGGCAGGGAACCGTCTTTGTCAGCGGAATAGATTTAATAAATAATGTTTAACAAGGGTTTTTTTACATTTGCAAGGGTGCTTGCAGGCCGACTCCTTACAGGTGTGAAGTGTTACGTATCACCAATAGACTCTTTTAGTGCGACTTGACGTAGTTATGCAACTCGCAATAAGCTTGTCATAGCTAAAACAGTATAGAACGAATCTGACCTCTGTATGCTATTTGCATAGGTACTATAAAAAAGAATCACAAAGTACATAAAATCGAAAATCAATCCTTTTATAATCTTTTAATGTTCCCATGGTGTCCCGAATTGCACTGGCCAAGACGACTCTACAATACATGAAAGAAATGTCCCATTGACGCAAGTCATCGACATCTTTTGAGTGTAGGTGAGATATAACCTATATAGTATGTCATACCTTAAGGAGGTTTATCGGGTACGGAGGTACGTCTAAAGTCTAAAGAAAGTTTCTGTAGATTCGCTAGTGACTAAAGTAGTAGTAAGCCTTTAGATTTGGCAACGTTGCACTTGACTATCGCGTTCAGCTCGGCGTTCGCTCGCTCCCGTTCGATCATTCCCTTTGTTTGGACACCTGTGAATTTCAAATAATACGCTACGTCGAGACCGCGGCGTTGCCGCTATCACGCATATGGAGGATAAGTTAGTCAACAACAGCAGTTTGAAGGAGAATTATTATAAATTATGTATCTTACAAGTACCTAATCGATTTCTACGAGCTGTCATACGGTTCCTTAGATATCGGTTTCCTATTTATACAAGTTGCTGTGGAATCTGTTCGTCAATTGTTGCGCATTCCAAGTGGAAAGACCAAAAAAATCTGCATTCTCATAAGACTCTGTACTAAATCGTGAAAAAATATTTTATTATATCTCGTCACTAGTCATAATTTTGTTTGAGGATTTTGTTTATATTAATAAGCTTATATTAATTTTTTTATGAATATTCGTTCGTCAATTCCAAATCAGATAAACCTCCTTAAAGCCATTTCTAGTCCATAATTAATGTGCCTCACAAAATAATGTAATCAGATTTTGTTTTCATAATCCAAATAATGAAGTTTAAATCATTTATACAGGAAAATGGGTAATATTAAATAAAAAACACGCAAACGTGTTTTTTCTTGTGTGTACAAAGTACTCATAATTTTTTAGGTGTAAGTACTCTTAAATAAGTGAAAAAATGTCATAACGGTAAAGAATAGGAAAAAATTTTACTTAGGCCTCCCTGAACGATTCAGGTTAATAATAGTTATTCAGGGGCGGGTAAAGCTGGGGAACTTTGATGAAATTTTCTTTCATATTCTTTTGTATCACATATCAGAATAACAGTTTAAATTTTTTACATAAAAAATGTTTCATTAATCAATTGTTGCTTAATAAAAAAATTATGTACCTACTTATTTTTTTCTCCTCTAAACGACTAAAAAATTTTAAATAAATTATATTCGAAAATGAAAAGTTTTAGATAAAAAATGCCAGAGATATTTTCTATGTATAGTAGGATCATATTCGATGCAAAGTAATAAACCATTGCCTGTCAAGGGATCCAGTGCAGTACGGTATTAAGGGGTTTAGAAATTGAATAATTTCTTTATGCATTATGAAGGGATCAGTTCACGTCTGTCACCCTGTTTCTACAAAAATCCTTTTATTCTCGTAAACTATTTATTTTAAATGGTTCATCTTACGCCTCCTAAAAATGATTATACGATTTTCCTTTGACAAAAACCGACAATTTTTTGCTCTATTTTGCATCGAATACGATCCTACTTTAGATTGGAGAATTTTTAAATTTTTGTCTGAAATAAGTGGAAAATTGTGACGAAAAGTGTTGTTTATTTATAGGCGTTTTGGGCACATTCAAAAACTAACTTTAGTAATCGAACACCCTGTNTAGGCGTTTTGGGAACATTCAAAAACTAATTTTAGTAATCGAACACCCTGTATCTCCCAAAACCAGGTAATGTTTGGCCTATGCAATTGAGAACACTATACAGGGTGTTTATTAGGTACTTTAACTTTAAAACTTTAATCTTTGACTAGTTTTAGGATAAAAAGTTCATATGAAGATGGGTTCGCAACTGCTTGATTCCTGAGATACAAAAAAAACTTTTGTTTGGGATTTTGAATATATTATATTTTTATTTTTTCTAATTTTCACTAATTTGGTGATGGTAATTTCTAAAGTGATAGTTTAACATATCATGTGACGCTTTTTCACTTGATTTTCAAAAACTTAATGATTCAACTTAAAAATTCCAACTCATGTTTAACTTTAAACTCGTTTTTTACAAAACGGCTGCTTTCAGCGAGAAATACTAAGAGCACCTTTTTTACGTAAAATTGAATGGAGAACAGGTATGTTTAGTCAAAAGTGACATACAATGGGACACAAAAATGTTACAGTTATTTGAATCTAGGTACCTACAACACTGTATATGGCGCCATCTGACATTAAACACAAAAACTAAGTAAATATTTGAGTTTCTCATCCTCAATACTCCCAGTTTCCCGAATTTCGTCAAAAATATAATCAAAATAGCAAACAAAAATTATTTTTTGAACACCCTGTATCTCAAGAACCAAGCCGTCGTAGACCCATGTTCATATGAACTTTTTATTTTAAAATTAGTCAAAGATCCACCCTTTTGAAGTTTGTAAAGTACTTAATAAAGACCCTGTATATATTTATGAAATTTGCTTTTCAATCTTGAAGTGAGAAGCCTGCATTTCAATTTACCGACCCATAAATGGTGCAGAAAATATCCGCTATGATTTAACAACATTGAAACAGTAAGTAGATATAAAAACTACTCAAGATTAATCTTTTAACGAAAATTATGTATAGAAAAAAATTTGATTCTAACAATGACGTTTATATCAAACTTTTTTCGATACTTCGCACCACTTCGTAACAAATCCTCGAAAATTTATCATTGCACCTAGTTACAACGTCTACGCTTAACCTCTTTTAGAATGTACATAGTGTCCACCCCACTCAACAAACAAAACAACAATAAAATCCTCAACACCCACCAAGTGGCGAGTCCAATTGCATCAAACTTCAAGTACCTACTAATTTTAAGTACAAATCCGCTACATATCACAAGAAGGGCCCCTAGGAGGGGCTGCTGGGGGACTCCCTGTCGTCCCTCAGACTGGTATCCGGCGACGACCTCTGCGGTGGAGCATAAGGTGAGTACCTGTGCTGGGCCAAGGGCCTAGCAAGGGGAGAAATCGGCGCCTGCAGCTGAGAACTGCCAGCAGCTGCCACGGCTAGCTGGTGCTGATGTTGCGTGGCCAACAGAGACGGCCCCAGACAGGCCCATTGGTTCCAGAGCACACCTGGAGGTACCGCGGTGCTTTGAGAAGCCCCCGCTCCATAGAGGCCTCCCATGAGCGGGCCGTAGGGTCCCGCGGCGGCGGCGGCGGCTCTCAGGAAGAGCTGGGAGCGCGCCGCGAGGATGGCCTTCTCCTCCAGGGAGAGGTTGTTGTTGTGAGTGTCTAGATCTGCAAAGGGACGCAGGGGGGAACGGAAGTAGTGCTGTTCGGCCAGCATAGACTCCATGGTCTCCCTGTAATCATGAAAACTAAAGCGGATTAATCATACTGGGGACAGGGACTGTAGATGTATTTACATATACCTGGTGCAAAGCATCTTCTAGTGGTGTGTTCATTTTTTAATTTGCAGAATATAAATATGTATGGAAAATTGCGTAAAACTATTTTACTTTCTATTATATTTAATGATATAATTTAGTAAAAACAGTTCTTAAAATGCATTGAGTTGTAATACTGAGGAATTTTATTACAACTTGACAACAGTGTTAGTCGAATGACAACTTAATTCTAGGACAGTTGACTAACGCCCTCTTTTTTAATAGTATTAAAGTTATGGCAGTGAAAACTCTTCCACGATGTTTTGTGTTCTTAAATATCAAATAAATAGAACAATTACACAGGCCGACAAAATTTCAAAAAAATTCCAGGAATCAGACACTATGCTTCCGAAGGCATTTGGCGCGCTGAATCCGAATCTGGCCTCAGAATTGATCCATCACCCTAGGTTTCCGAGATATTCTAACCTAAAAGTGTAAAAAACACGTACTTTTGCTATATTCAAGGTTATGTAACTTGGCGAAAAAATTTTTTTTCTCAAAACTGAAAACATCATTGGAAACGACTATCTTTCCCCTTCAAAACGCATTTTTTTATTTGGAAAAAGCTCTATTTTTCGCGGAGATATCGTCGATTTAAGATGACCAGTATGGCTATATTATTACATCATGGCTAACCCCATAACACTGAGCGCTGCTAGCCCTAATTGTTAGGAACGTTAACCCCAAGCCCTATAACCCCACAACACTAAACGGAGCGAGCCCTCATCGTCAGGAAGGTTAACTTCAAGCCCTATAACCCAATAACACTAAGCGCTGTGAGCCCTAATCGTCAGGAAGGTTAACACCAAGCCCTATATGTCTGGAAGGTTAATCCCAAGCCCTATTGGGTTATTGGGTTATTTGGGTTATTGGGGTTAACCTTCCTGACATATAAGGCTCGTAGCGCTTAGTGATATTGTGTTATAGGTCGAGCCATGGTAATAAGGTAGCTATACTGATCATCTTTAACCGACGATATCTCCGCGAAAAATAAAGCTTTTTACAAATAAAAAAATGCGTTTTGAAGGGGAAAGATAGTAGTTTCCAATGATATTTTCAGTTTTGAGAAAAAAAATTTTTCGCCAAGTTACATAACCTTGAAAATAGCAAAAATACGTGTTTTTTGCACTTTTAGGTTAGAATATCTCGGAAACCTAGGGTGATGGATCAATTCTGAGGCCAGATTCGGATTCAGCGCGCCAAATGCCTTCGGAAACGTATTGTCTGATCTCTGGAATTTTTTCCTTGTTGGCCTGTGTTATTAAACAAATAAAATCATGCCTAAATAACAAATCTCTAATTAAAACAGTTTTAGAATGATGTTAAAAAAATTATTTCGTACCTATATGTTAAAAACGTTGATATTTTTATATAGGTAAGTTAAATTACTTAGTCTTATTTAGGGCCCAGGAGTTTGAGACACCTTGTATAATCTTGCACGAATAGTCAACATTCATCATAAACAGCTAATAAACTATAATAGAATAAAACTTTTTAAAAAACATTACATTTATATTAGTAACTTTTTGTAAATTTTCTATGCGCTTGTCGTTAATAACCACCTAACTTTCTATACATGACAAATGTACGAATATTTTTAAAACACGGAGTTACAATGTATCCTATTTACGCAGATTTATCAATCGCCACCTTAACAATGTTATTACGAGTAGTTTTAAAGTTACATTTCTAGCAGCCAAATTACCAATACAGGCGGTAACAGCCAAAGGTGAGCTAGGTGTGAAGGTGGCAACTAATACGATTCGACGTGCCAAGAAAAACACATCAGATAACGATTTTCTTAGAAGTTCGAAGGTGCTTGAACCGAATGATGCCGCTGTTGCTTAATTTCAACAGAACTTCAACTGACACTCATGATTGCTAAAGATTTGTGGGTTTTGAAGTCCTAAAAATTAACCTACAGGTCAGTCAGTTCGTTATTATTTCAGTTGGGAAACGGTTCTCTTTTCACAAATATATTGACATAATTATCAAAACTATTATTGAGATATACAGACTTTCTTACGTCTGGGAAGGTAGTTAAGACACACCCTGTATATTCCCGTTCTGGTTTATCGGCCATTAAAATCAGCCATTATATTTTATTAATAAGATGCATACCTTTCAAATTCGGTGAGCCGGGACGAGTCTCTAAAGCCCTTAGCAAATGGGTTGCTGTCAATCTTCAGCTTCGTTATCTGTAACAAAATTATAAATTCAAATACTAGAAATGTGGACGTAAAATATAGGAGCTGTCAACCGGGAGAGATCATTCTCTTAATGGCAGGTCATTCTTTACAGTGCTCGTCATCACTCTAGTGAGAGGGCGTTTTAAATTTTGTGGGGAAAAATTACTCTGTCAGCGCAAACATAAAATTAAAAAAAATAAGTAATAATAAAAAACGAGCTTATAGCCGAACGAGAAGGAATCAAAATAAAAGAAGTAATAGTAGCCAATAAAAAATAAAATTATAACGTATTCTTTGATTAAAAATATCTTCTTTATTTCTTTTAGTTAAGTACAACTATTTATAATGTGTCTCATGTGCCCCCCCCCTAGAAATTCGAAAAACGTACAAAACTTTTCTTAAGCTAGGAAAATATTAGATTGGAAATTTTTAATAAAATATTTTATTTACTTAAACTTAAATTTTGAAAATGTATACACTACTTTATTTTTTTTAAAACAATTGTAATAAATTAAAATAAACATTAAAAGTAATTAAAAAGTAAAAGTAATACATTTCCATATTTTAAAAATTTAGCTCTGGAATTTTAAATTAAGAATAAAAACCTGGCTGATAAATACTATGATACAAAATCATCTCAATGGCCTAGCAATGATGAGTAGGATACTTACTTAAGGAGGTTCGATACCGAAAAAAAATGATAAGAAAGTTTTCAAAATCATTGAAATCTGTTAATAAATATGCCAACTGCCTCGTGTAAAAATATCAGATCAATTGCCAACATAGTTTTTTTGAAAAATGATATTACAAATTATACTCTTTTACACAGGCTTTTATGCGAGTTGGGAAAAAACTGTAATCAAACGTGAATACTGCTCTTAAAAATGGTTAGGATCGGGAAAATATAATTATAATTAAAGAATTAAATATTACTAAACATTTTAAAACAATAAAAATATGCACTTACAATGTAATTATTGAGATAATGGAATGAATATAACGTTTTGACAAATCTGAACAAACATCTGATCCAATGAAAGGAAATGTGGCAACACTGTACGCTGTATTTAACGCGTTGACTGACGCGCTATATTTGAATAGCTCGATTATAGACTATAGAATTATTCCAGTCGAAAACATATGTAGTAATAATTAATATTAAACAAATTTTTCGTGATCTAATGCAATATAATAGCAATTTGAAACAAAAATTGAAAGGATCTCTTTGCAAAACGAACAGTATAGATGTTCTGTCATAATCTTCAATTTGACAAGACGACGTCTCACTATCATACACTGAGCTTCTTGATAGTTACCATATGGATTCTCGGTTTGCACATTTTACTATTTTCTTATCAGTCCCACATTCTGTTGCATACGCATTTTATATTGCTTTTCAGTCATTACTTTTCCTTTGTATCTTGGATGTTCATTCATGTTTACGAAATACGCGCAAAGCATAGTTGACAGTAATGACAGTGGACCCAACTTTTACCACCACGCCATGGCAATGTTGCCAGGTTTCATCCATAATTTTACATGCTCTTAGTGAATAAATAGACACTTTTATTCAAATAAAAAGTTAATTGCCGTGCATAAACACGAAAAATATATAGAAGCTAATACGTGTTATATAAATTTCATTCGTATATACTATATTTAGTTCGCTCAAATTAGTTTATGTAAGTTTGGTACTACAACGAAACTCCCGTGTATAAGCATAGCCTTCCCTCTCGCACCGCCTGCCCCGCAAGAGATGTATCGAACCTCCTTAAGCTTATTTTTGACAATCATGAAAATTTTACTAATAAAGTGGTCTTGTCGATTTTCAAAAAATCCGAGAAGTTTATGTTTTACCTATCTTTCGTTGAATTTCTTTATTTTTTTATGTTTTTTTTTTATAAAAAGGTTTTATTAAAAATATTTCTGAAAAAAATAATTCACTGTATTATACCTATCTATTTCTACCTATAATTTATATTTCTCCTATCCTCTCTCTCTCTCTCTTATCTTGGATATAATTTAATAATATCCATTAATGTGTTTTAAAAAAACCATAAAAAGTCACTCTGTTTTGATGTAAGTAACGTTACAGCTTATTTAAAAAACATATAATATATTATTAACTATGTTTCTAAAAAATATATAATTTTGTTTTGTTAATATTTATTCATTCCTTGTGAAACGAAGTTAGGTACCTGATAAAATAATCGTAATAAGTGGAAACCTAGATTTCTGTTATCCAAGAACATTATTTAACTTCAATAAGATTTTTTAGAAAAAAAAATAAACGTTGTCACCGCCGTTCTTGGTGGTGAATTTGCTTAATACCTTTAAAATATAATAAAAAGGTTATAATCTGTTTTGGCAAATCACATTTTTCGAGGCCCACCATCAAGAACTTCATCATCTTTCAGAAATCATCCGAGCCAGTGGGCTCTGCTACCCTAAAAATTACCATAATCACCCTGACACACGTGAAACAATCTCAAATTAAATCCGTTAATGAATTCCCATCCGTCAACAGTTGGCAAAAACGAATGCGACCGTCTTCAGTCGAAGACTGTGCAATTAGTCACCTGGAAAAAGGGCTCCCCGACGGGGTCGGGGGGACCGTAAACAAACAGTACGTCAGTCGTACGGAGGAACTCCTGGGGTGGGCCAATTATCTGTTCACGGGGAGTGACAGCAACCGATAGAGCATAGCTGGAATGCCTGGTGCCCCCAGGTGTCCAGCCCGAGGGCCATAAGATAGCGCTGGACGAGATGTGACGCGGACCGCACGCTGTCACCAACTAATCCAGCGATTGGCCCCCTCGGCGCGCTGAATTCGAGGAGAAATAATAATTAATTAAGCCGGGTATGTTACAGAAACGAATGCAGATGGAGCTGTTTCTATATGAAGTCATTTACCCCCTAGACAACAGTCAGTATTTTCACTAATGTAAATTTTTTGAAAAAAAAAAATACATAGATATGCAAAGCAATGTGCTACATGTAGGCATAAATTTCTTTGTTTCAGGAAAATTCAAAATTTTACTAGCAACAGTATCTAATACTGTTTATTTTCATTTTATAGCAAGTAAAGTTAGTATAAAAGATAATAAATATGCTAAAAACTCTTAAATATCTTCATATAAATTGAAAGACTCCTCTCTACCTTTGACAATCCTATCTTCACCAATAAACTATTTCTATGTGCAAATTATTGAAGTTTTAGGGAAGAACGAACACCTTAAAAAATTTGTTGGTACACCAAAATAAAATTTATATAACTTTTTCCATATTTCTTTCAAATTTCTTACATTTCAATTAATCAATTTTTTTACCGCTAATAAAGTTTCTATGTCAGTTAAATGTACTATAGTTCAATATTAATAAGTACATTTAAGGGCAGTTAAATCAAAAACACTGTTCGTGAAAATCACAAATGGACACAAACGTCAACCTGTCACTGTTGTATTGCCCGACAAACAATGATCAAAGAGTTTGTTGAATGTCGGGTATTCGCGGCTTTTAACAGAACATATAATTAATACTAAATTATGACTCTAAATATAAGAGTTAAAAAATACCACAAGGTTAAGACTTCAGTTGTTAAAGATTTATATTGAACATATTACACCAGGTGCTATTTAAAATTTTCTAGAACGAGGTTTCGATATATACTTACCATTTAATATTCAAAAGACGATCAAAACACTAGGATTTGAAGAAATTGTTTCCAAATATATACCATTTTAGAGTTTATAAAAAGAATATTTGTTCTTCATTTGTTTTTTAAATTGCGTTCATGGCCTACATTCATAAATCGAAAATACAATACTTATGTATGTTTTCAGCCACGAAATTTGCATAATTCCAAATATTTCGAATTTTCACAATCAACAACGGCGGTGACAACATTTTTAACATTAAAGCCATGTTTCGCATCGTATTAGCTATGTCCTGTACAAATTTAGTTTCGTGAAACTCTCTTGGTTTCAAAAATACAATACCTATCTGCGTTTTCAGCCACGAAATTTGAATAATTCCAAATATTTCGAATTTTCACCACCAAGAACGGCGGTGACAACATTTTTAACATTAAGGCGATGTTTCGCATTGTATTAGCATGTCCTGTCCAAATTTGGTTAATGCAACTCTCCCGATTTCGAAAATTCAATGCCTATGTATGATTTCAGCCACGAAAATTGAATAATTCCAAATATTTCGAATTTTCACCACCAAGAACGGCGGTGACAAGATTTTTAACAGTAAGGCGATGTTTCGCATTGTATTAGCTATGTCCGCTGTGTATAAATATACAAACACCGAACTTATAATGGATTATACAAACATATAAGTTACTATTTTATATAGTTTGTATGGAACAGTCGGAACAGGGTATAGCAAAGGAGTGAAATGCAAACTAAGAAAGTGAGCTGAGTACGACCCTGTTAAGAGCCGGGCTTCCCGTAGATTCTACATCAGTTCGACAACCAGCAGCGCATATAATTTTGATTGGTTATCTTCCACGTGGACAGATATTCTCAAAATGTACCTACAGAGTCATTCAAATAATATTGTACCCCATATCCTTTTTTTATTTGTATTTACGAGAAAGTGGTAAACACTAATTTTAGGGAATTTTCTTACGATTTTAACGAGATTTATAAAAAAAACAATTGACTGCATTTCGTTTTTCGTATTCATATTTTTTCTTATTACAATGATGGGGGAAATGTCTTTTTCTGTTTATATCACAAAAAAAAGTTTGGTTTATACCTTTTTTATATTATATTTTTCTGATATTGCACAAAAATTTACTACAATATGTACACGTTTTATTTTTACCCTGTGTTTTTTGCGTTTTCATGATTCCCTAACATTGCTGATAATATTAACAACTGACAACCGCGTAACTAATGCTATCTTGAAAAGCTATTATTCGACTTCACTTTAACCAAATATATCTGTCTAATAATAATTCGTGAGATCCTGGTACTGTTTTTGTGTGCAGGATAAGA